TGTATTGTTTCCGGTTTTGTTTATGCTACCGTCCAAAGTGATAATCCATCCATACCGGTATAGATTGCAATTAATTCTTAATTCAGCCTGTACCGGTTTCTGTTGGTCAGTAATTGTTGGATTATTACTAAGTCTATCCACGTACAATTACTAAGCCTGAGCATGGCTATCTGTATGTTTAAGTTTGCGCAGTGGCTTTTATATAGCATGAGGCTTAGGTAGTAATGCGGTAAAAGCCACAGATTACCAGCTCGGACTGAAAGGCAAATTAGTTTCAGTCTATACCGGTGTTCACAGGGTACTACTCTGGATGGTTATATATCCATTAGAATGATGAAGTGCAGCTTAATCTGAGTTATGTTTTGAAAAGCATATAAAGATTACGCTTTTCCCTGCTTTCTCCGAAAATAACTGTCAACTCGTTATTCTTTCGTCCGGTTTCACACTTACAGTGCGATTCTTCTAGACATATCTGTTCAGTTGATCTAAGAGCGCTTGTTATCACGTGGTTGCATTGCTTTACTAGACTACTGGTTTGGGGTTCACTGTAGCCCTTGAGGGTTGTCGCGGTGGCGGCGTAAGTTTTTGTTGTTCTGCCGAAGAGGCATGCTGAAATGATCGCCGCTAAACCGTGCAAATGTGTGATGTGCTGCGACGAAGCGTCTCTCTTCTGCAGTGGCGAAACTAGGTTCGTTGCTAAAGCGGTTGTCGCAGCTGTTGTTTCCTTTGCTTTGCCGCTAGTCTCGTTGCACACTTCAGACATTCCTATAAATTACGCCTGACTTTATTAAAATTACTGGTTCATATTTGTGTCAGGCCGTAATGTTTGATATTCGCTGACCAGCTTATGTTCGTCTTTTGCAGGTCTTCTGGTGCAGTCTGTAAAGTTGTGGCTCACGCTGTTTGGTCGCCGAACGGTGGTTGATGTCAATGCTCGGTGCTGTGGTCGTTATTTTGAATTTATATAACTGGGCGGTGGTCAGCTGCATCTATTACCTGATTAGTGATTTAACACTTCGGGTTGCATATCAGTGTGCAATGGAAATGCGATGCGTTTGTCAGACTTTTGAATTTCTGATTGCCTTTCCATTGTGGTGACTGCGTGAGGTCATTACGTCAGCGCTTATTCCTGTAGTGGCGAGTTTGAATATGCATAAGGGACATAGTCATCTGTATCTGTTCCCTGACTTTACCACTGATGTTACTTATCGGTGAAAAGCTCTTTGCGATTACAGTGAGATGCAGTTGTCAAACTTGTGAACGTCAACCATTTTCATTTTATTATATGATTCCACTGTGGTGGCTGCGTGAGATCAGTACGTCAGCGCCCAGTGATTAAGTCATCGCGCTACCGTTTAATCAGGAATAAGAACTTATGTAACTGACAGGCGGTCATCTGCATCAGTTATCTTATTTGATCCTTCTCGTTATATATATAACGAAGGCTCTCTGGAGCACAATGCTACACTTTTGTCACGTGTCAATTTCAGAGTTTGCATTATTGTTTGACGATGGTTCGCTGTTACGATTACGCAAGCTAAATTAAATCATCGCGCGTCAGCGTTATCGTTAATGATCGCAAGTCGGGGTATATGGACCTTCAGATGCTTTGTTTATATTCCTTCTTAATAATTTTGTCACAATCGTGAATTCTGATGTGGAGTTAAGCAGATGATTCGTCTATGTTGTTGCCACCGTCGGTTGTTTTACTCATTGTGTTATACAAAACCGTTAACTCGCCGCTACGCCAAAACATCCCATTCCGCTTCTTGTATTCTCTTCTAAATTATTCGACATCCGTAATGACTACGCGAGAGAAAGTTTCTGAAAGCGTTTGTAGTTTTCCTTTTCGACTGTTCTGCCACACGGAACCCGACGTTGTTTCCTGAAGTCTTCATTAGCTTACATATGCACCAGTCCATGGTTTTTACAACTGCTCCTCTATAATCCAACATTTTGGATATGAAAAATGACTTATAAAATTCCTAAAAATGACTTAGTCAGTTTTCGTGACTTTAGAGCGAACGGTGTTTCAAAATCGTGGTAAGGGAAAGGTTGCTGTAACTGAAATTGAACGGGAGCATCTGAAGACTGATGAGCTTGCAGAT